CTGGCACGTCTGCGGGCGACAATCCGCGAGTGGCCCCCCAAGCGCCACTGTGCTTCCGAGTCCGAGTTGCGGGGGGTGATTGGTTCGCTGTTGCATATATGTGAAGTCGTGCGGCCTGGTAAATACTTTGTTCGCCGTGTGCTCAACCAGTTGGGGCTCCCGCCGGTGCAATTGACAGCCCGGGGGCAGGAGCGGACACGGATAGGTCCCGAGTTTCATGCAGAGATGCAGTTTTGGCGTCTGATGGTAGACGGGGGCTTGGGGTCGCCGTCGCGGGTGTTAACAGCCCCACTTGTTAATTTGTTTGTTTTTTCGATCAACCATATTCGTGTCTTTTGTGGTCAGATGCATCTGGTGATGCCATGGGGGGGTATTTCTTGCATGCTGAATTCCGTTCGGGAGTATAATGGTGTTTCGAATTCAGTCAGGACGTGCGGGAGCGGTTTCGCCAGCAGGCTGAGGTCTTGGACCCGGAGGTCGCCGATATTTGTACCGGCGTTTTAGCTGCGAGTACGTCCGCGAGTCAGTTGCGCAGTCGTCTCGAAGAACTTACAGGTCGGGTTGGCGGGCTTAGTGTGTTTTTCGCGGGTTGATTAGCGAGTCGGTGTACCTCTCGGGGGAGGCGGACGATACGGTGCTGGGACAAGCACTCCTGGAATTTGTGGCGTGGTGTTGTGCAGGTAAGGGTAACGTTGCACCGACCATTTCCGGCAAGCTCGCCGCTGTACAGTATTTTCATCGCGTCGATAGGCAGGTCTATGCTTGGCGTTGTCGTATTTTCTGGTGGCGCGTTCGGATGTGATTTTTGCCACGATGTCGGGACACTGCCACCAGGTGCATTGTTTGCGGCGGAGCGACGTCGAGTTTTTCGATGGGGAGCACGTGTTAACCCCGTTGCACTGGCACAAGGCTACGGGTGTCCGGGTTCGGTTTCGTGGCCACAAGGGAGATCAGTCGGAAATGGGGGCGTACGTTACACGAGTGCGCGATGTCGCACGAGGTCCGAGTTCTCAGATTGGCGCCGGTGGCGGTGCCGTGGCGGTGTTGGTGGAATTGATGGCGTGCCATCTTGCTTTGCCTGAGAACGCCCCTCTGTGCTCGTTTCGTTGCAGTAGGAGCAGGTCGGTTAAGGTTTGGGGATATTCCAAAGCTCTTAGCGCCCTTCGCCAGATTGTGGAGAAGGTAGGTGGCGACCCGAGACAGGTTGGCTTGCATTCATTGAGGATCGGGGCCGCCACCACGTTGGCAGCGGGAGGAGACGTACCGGATAGAATTATACAGAGAGGGTAGATGGAAGGAAGGGTCCGGTACGTACAAGATATATACTCGGGACAATATGGTGGACGTAGACATAGTATCCCGTAAACTAGCAAAGGGATGGAAGGAGCAGAAGGAGGGTTAGCATATACGAAGGTACGGGCAAGGGAGACAGAATGCCGTCCCACTAAACGTCGATGTTGGTGGATGTCAATGGTAGAGTACCATTGGGGGTCTCGGTATACTGAGACGACATTTTGTTAGGCCCAGCCAGTTGACATGAAAGGAAACTTGGATTCTGGATGAGAGAGGGAAGCGACCGGTGTCGCCCCCTCGTTATTTGCCAGAGAGTTACCTTTCAGACTTCGTGGAAAATAATAATAAAAATGACACTTCGGAAAAATACAATAAAGCGAATATTTCAGATGGATCCTACCAAAGGGGGGAGGAGTCTGAAATTGGTGTTTATTGGAGTTGGTAGAAGGAGTGGGCATTTATATTATATGGCAAAGAGCATGTCTGCGTGCTTGCAGGAGAGGAGGCATGCGCACCGAGATAAGGCAGCTGCCCGCAGGACATTCCGTTTGCGCCCGATCACGTTGGAGCATCAGCAGTGCTGGAGCACAGGGACTGCTAGACGTACGATTGGACAACACTCTGCCAGCTGCTGGTTTAGGACATTCTGTTGCGGGAGCTAGTGTTGTCGTCTTGTGCGGAGTGAGGGTTCTCGACCCCGCACAACATAATCTACTCGACCACCATTCATGGTCACCGTAAAAAAAAAGGCAAAAAAAAAGCGGTAACCTGGTTGCCGAGCTCACGAAGTGATCGGCTTGTTTTACAACATCGCTGCCAAGCGACGAAAACCCAACCCCGATGGCAAACACCAGGGGGGGCGGCCTGTTTTACAACGTCGTTGCCAAGCGACGAAAACCCAAGGGGGGGGCGGTATTCATAGTCGTGCATGCCGTAGTCGTTGGACCATTGAGGGATGGGGGGGCACTTTTTTTTCGTAAAGCATGACATGGGAAAATAGTGGAATCATTCAATCAAAGCCTCCGTTGCATCAGATGTACGGTGAAATCGCTTTTATCGCTTGATCGCTCCCCGCTTTTTTTTTTTATTCATAACTGGCAAGCGAGCTTCTTTTCTGCTACACGAACAACTGGTAGGCATAGAACCGAGGCCAGGGGGCGTTCAAGGGCACCACGCAGCTAAGCGCCCGCCGTTGGGGTTGAAGTGTGAACTGGTATGCTCCTTTGTCGCTTCGCCATGCGACGTACTTGCCCCACCAAGCAGGGAAAGGCATGTTACCATTGTGCCTTGCCCGAAGTCGTTCATGTATCTGGTAAGCCTCAACCGCACACTCCACCTATGGTTAGCGTCTGTTCCCGCTTTCTTTCACACCTGACTTAAGCGGTTCTCGTAGTCCCGCCATCGTCTTTCCGCCTGAGATATGAGGTTCCCCATGTTGTCCATGTTCTTGAAGGACAGAAATGCCTCGAACATCACCCCGACGAAAAGATTTGTTATGTAGAAGCCGAAGACAAGTATCCCACCGAAGAAATACCAGAAGGCTTGCGGCTGCTCGGAAACCAGTGTGACATGTTTCGTGTCACGAAGGAGAAGGACGCAGATGGAAGATTAAGGGGTGAACCCATAGACGACGAGAGGGCTACACGTACGTACGTGATTTTCGCCCGAACTGGTTGAAAACAACCTTCGATTGGGTGTTCGACACAGACGCCTCGAACATCGCCTCGATGATGATCCCGCCACTATATCTACCAACAGAAAAACTTCACTCCTTGAGACGAGCAAATGGGTGTTGTGTCTCACCCGGCTTAACGGCTTCGATCTCCAACCGACATCAAGAACACAACCCTAACGTTTGGACTATTGCCAAACGACGCCGGCTGTCCCCATCCAGGAAAACGTGAGTCCATGCAGGTATGATTCCATGGCCGGAACAATATTTTTGTAGCGACGGCAACACACACGTCTGCTATCGTGCCTTTCAAGCCAAGAGGGGAAGAGCTCCCCGCTCTGCTCACGTTGTAGTTTTCCGATGGCTGGTGGTCAACCACGTAAGCGTCCGTTGCGTGGTGATAAATTTCTACCCAGCCATCGAGGGTGGTGACAATCATCGCCGACAGAATCGCCGGGCCAATAGAATCGAAGTGATACCTGATTTTCCCCGATTGTGAAAGAGAGAAATACAATCGGCGATGTTACATTAGGGCATTCCCGTGCCCGGTACTTGATGGAGAGAGGGTAGAAAGATAGGTTGCCCATTTTATATCGAGAATGGTGTCAGTCACTGATAGTACTCACAGCTTGAAGATGATTCAACAAGCAGGAGAGGCTGAGGGTCAACTCGTGCGACGGGGTGCAAAGATAAAGCGGGGGATCCTTCTTCCCTGGGACGGTAAGAGTCAGTATCGTTTCGTATCTGCCCTTTAGCTTGAATCTTTAACCCAGGACGAGAGCGAAGCGGGTTCCATCTTTGGATACCCTGCGCGTATCGGGGTTAATTCTTACAAGATTTACGTTCTTACGTGCAGCTGTGTGTCCAACCGCCACGACTCGATACCTCTGAGTCAGATGAAAGAGCACGAAAAATGCTGACGAAAACACAGATACTTTTCTTTCTCTCACTCACACGTAGTTATTCCACTCAAAGTCCCTCGTCTCTGGCAGGCCGGTCGCCGGGTTCACCCAGTCCCCACTGCACGGTGCACTAACCCACACGCCGTTGTCCGCGTCGTATTCTCCGTAGCGAGACATTTTGGGCGGAAACTCAGGATCGCTGATTGCGCAATACATGGGGGGGAAAGACGATAGTACGAGGGTGCGCCTGAAAGAAGGTGTCGCATGCATTGGTTCCTTACGCTGCTACCAAAAACGGCAATATATCATCGCCGTGCAGAAACCTTCCGTGATCTTGGCGTACATGTCTCCTCTAACCCGTGCATCGAAAGTTAGTGTTTGAACCTGCTGCCAGGCGTGAGTGTACCTGCTTGTACGTGGTAGCTAAAATTCGATGTATCAATGGGGAGACAGTTCCCATTCAGTTGTTGGCATGCATACGTGTGTCTCGACTTGAGGTGATACGAGGCAGACTCCGAAAGGGAGTGAAACGTCGCCCCCACGTTGAGTCCCAGGGCACTTTTTGTCGCTGTTCTTTTTGACTAAGTCATCAGAGGAGAGGTCCTGCTTGTAGCTGTCATCCCAAATCTGCGGCGTGAAAGTAAAGCTTTGGGGTAGGCATTCTATCGATCCTCGTGACGCCACTGGGAAGTTTTCGCGGAAGAAATACAGCATAACACCCGTCCCGACTTGCATCCGTTCGGTACCTGCATGAGTAAAACAACCCTCCGAAGACTTCCACGCCGACCATGCTATAGCCTAGCAGGAGGGTTGCAATGAGCACCAACAACGTTCCACAGCTCCTCAATGAATGCACCAGGGCCTCCGACATTTCCTGCAGAGACTGGGCAGAGGAATCAATCGAAAGCGGATGCATACCGTCGATTAGCAGATGAGGCGGTTCAGCAGCAAACGCTGGGTTTAGATGACTCTCAACTTCGCTAGACCCCACCTTCCATCTACACCTTCTATAACTGTTCTCCGGCCGACAATGAAAGGTGATGTCAAGATCGCGAAAATGTGACAAGTGTTGTCAATACATGAAGCCAATGCAATGCATTTCGTATTTCGAAGTCTTGACGTTGAAGCCTTGGTCAAAAGGCAGTCGAAACCCCACGTTCTTCCTTGTGCGTGTTCACCTTGACACGATGGATGATACGTAAGGGGCGCGCTGACTTCACAACCTTCTGGGCGCGGTTCGTCCCTTGTATCCCAAGGATCTGATGAGAGTTTTCGGCGGCAAGACACGGTCAGAGTTGGGCGAGAGAACGGGCGCGTACAGTGGCTAAAAGGCTGTTACTGCAGTTGTTTCAAAATTGTTCTGGCCCCACATTGTATCCCGTCTTCCGGGAGTTCTTCAAAGCCCCAAACCCGAAGTTCGTGGACACGAACAAACCCACAATAGGTAACATGCCCAGAAAACTTATGTCGCGGGGTTTGCGTGCGGCAAAGGTAACAATTCAGAACGTGAAATGAGGGTGAGCCGATTGCTCCACTCGGAAGCTGAGTCACGGACAAAATTACAGTACAACTACGTCTAAAGATATTTTCCTTGCACCTTTTCAGTGTACCTGGCGTTGAAAACCTCGTCTGTGCCTTTGCACGCATGCATGCCAAGGGCTACAAGATTGGGTTCCAGCGACTGGCTGCCTTCGTGTTTTTCTCTGGTGGTATCCCGCTTTCACCGACAACTTTACAGTCATTCATGCAGATGCCTTGACGGACGGGTAGCAGATCGAATCGTGTTCCCTTCTCACCGTAGCGAAAGTGCAAGCACCGTGAGACACGACGAGGTACACGTCGAAGAGCACCCAGGGGTTCCTGAGGACGGCGTCGGGGCCTGCCCACCAACTGTACACGCCAGCGCGGAGGCAGAGCTCCACGCAAAAGGCCGCCAGGCAAACCGTGTCCAACACTCCGGCCACGCTAGACAGATCCTCTGTCTCGTACAGCGACAACACGCTAGCGACACAGAGTAGATACAAGAGGGCGCGGGAGAAAGACAGAAAAAATGAACACCCGATTAACGCGGTTTATTGTACTGCAGCCGTCTCTGTTTGTAAATAGACCGACCGTGTCCCTGGGCCTCGTGGAGTTCTTCATGGAGGCCATGAAGTGCACGCACATGTTTCCTGCACGCGTGTCCATCACAAAATCTTTTATCGTTCGTCCGTCGAGGTCCGAGAGGTTCCCTGCTCTGGTCTTGATTGATTAGTATTTGTTTTTCCCGCCTTCATTACCCTAGCTTTAATCCCGACCCCACACATGGAACCATAATTGGTGTACGAGGTTGGACCTAGGCCACGGTTGCATCGTGGCGAGACTACAAAGTCTCCCGTGCTTCGAGATGACCACAGAAGCTTCCACCAGAAAATTCGGGTTCAAAGATGGCAGGGAGCGGAGTCGATGAACTCGCAGACGGCCATTGACCGTGTAGACCACATCCTAGGACTAATCCGGAAGAGCCTACGTAGCAAATGGAGCGGGACGTTGTCAACTACCTTGCCATAGGCACGTAGTGACCACAGCCCAAAGCCATGTCGTCGGGAATATCTTCGTTGCGACTATTATGGCGAACGAAACTCACATGCTGCCGAGTACAAAGCCTAGCATCACGGTTTCGAAGTGACGAGCTGCGACTATTTCGCCGCACCATTGTCGCGCCGGGCTCTTTCGCACATGCCTGACCACCAAATTTGCGCGCCGATGCGACGATGCTGTTAAACACTTGTGCAAACTAGGATAATTAGGTATCGTGGGTGTACACACAAACACATTGTACCTGGTCCATGACCTAGCGATGGGAAGGGTGGGGTTCTCGTACGTGCCTCGACGCATTGTTTTGAATTCAACCACCATGGGGTTTACTTCAAAATTTTGGCTTGTGTTGGCTTCGCAGTAAGATGTGATCCTCTTTCTCGTTCCCCTACCTCTTCAGTAGCTACACACAAGGGAGATTCAATCGCACGCAGCACCGATGTCACTGGTGGAGTCAGCGTTTATCGCGATTCTCGAGATGCTACCTACACGACAGGTTACGTGCTCCCGATGGTATATACTACGCAGAGCGTGGCGAACCAATACTGTCAGAACAAGTGACGGTTCGCTTCCAAGAAATCCAGAAACGCGGATTTGGCCCTTTTTCTAGCGTTGCATTCGGTTGTCTCTCACCACCGGATCCAGGTGGCCCTGTCCACGCGGGCGCCGAAGATGCGATCGAAAACATTCCACCACTTGGGCGTCTCCTTCTTTATCATCATCTCGCTGAACATCCCATACAGGGCCTTCGGAAGCTTCTGTTGTTCAATGACACAGCAGTGACATCCACATGGAGAATATATCAGATGAAGAGAGTTAGTTACAGGCCAGGGTGTGGCGGAAGTCAGACCCTCGTATGTGCATGACCAGCTGAAGTTGGCCATTCTTGAGAGGCCTGATGTCGTGTCTCCTCCGGATCGAGCGATAGATACAGAGGGTACGGATACGGCTATCGAATGTAAGTCATGAGCACCGTACTTGTTTCCCGCCTTTAGCGACTATTTTTGCCGAGCGACATCACCGCTAAAGAGCGGCAGAGTTGAACTGGAGAAGAATGAACTGTTTGGAGTAGAGCTGAGTAGTATGAGGTGAGGACGGTTTCTTGTGGAAAAACGTTAATAGCCTGATGAGTACCTCGATAGCCTCGTCACGAACATTGTTCTCACAACCGGTGGCTCCCTCCTCTTCAAGACCATCCCTTGTAGCCTCTCGAGGGCGCTCTTCATTCTCGCTAGCAGGAGACCCAACGAAGTGTTCCCCTCTCGCTTGGCGTTCCGTGTCGCAACCTTCGAGCACTCTTTTGCCTTGGCTGGAAGGCGAGGCACGGCGCTGATCGCGGGAGCCTCTTCTAGCCGTTTGTCTTACCCAGTCCTTCTGCCAAGTACTGTCAAACCCGTCCGGCGGGGTCATCAACTTCTCGGCATTCCTACGCTCCGGGCGTTCATCGTGCACGAGAGCCTCACCAGCCACCATCAGCAGGTTCCTTTCCTCGCCAACAGGGGGACGAACAACACCGCCCCCCGCTGTAGGAACCTTTCGCCCAATATTCTGGGCCCCGTGCCCGTTGTCTTCTGCACCACTCGGCGGTGCACCGGGCCGACGGCTCTTCTTACCCTTGTGTTGCCTCTCCCAACTTCTTCCCCAAACACTGTCGAATTCATCTTGCGGGGTCATCGCGGTCTTGGCAGAGTCACACCCCGGGTGTTCGTCGTGCTCGAGAGCCTCACCAGCCACCAACAGCCGGTTTCCTTCCTCGCCAACACGAGAGCCAACATATTTTCCCCCCGTTGTAGTCGTGTTTCGTCCAATGTTCTGGGTCCCGTGCCCGTCATCTTCTTCACTGCCCGATGGGGCACTGGGCCAACGGCGGGGGCTCTTCTTACCCTTGTACTGCCGCTCCCAACTCTTTCCCCGAACTTTGTCGAATTCCTTTGGTGGGGTCATTAACGTGTCTGCAGAATCACGCTCCGGGTGTTCGTCGTGCTCGAGAGCCTCACCAGCCACCAACAGCCGGTTTCCTTCCTCATCAACAGGAGAGCCAACATCTTTCCCCCCCGCTGCAGTCGTATTTCGTTTAGTGTTCTGGCCCCCGTGCCCATCGTCTTCTGCGCCACTCGACGGGACACTGGGCCTACGGCCGGTGCTCTTCTTGCTCTTGTACTGCCGCTCCCAACTCTTTCCCCAAACTTTGTCGAACTCCTCTGGTGAGCTCATCAACTCCTCAGCCGCGGTAGGTTTAAGGCGTCGCTCGTCTTCCATTGCCTTACTTCTTGCCGATAGCGCGCGCCCTTCGCTGACGCTGGCAGCAGAATGAGCCGCGGAATCCTCTCGTCCTGCCGACATCCCTTTCTCCTGGTCCCCTCCCACGCTGTTGCCTCTGCTGCGAGGTTCGCATCCTGTATGGCCGTGGGCACTCTTCTTCCTCCGCTCCCGTTGCCAACCCGTGTCCCAAACTCTGTCGAATTCGGCCGGCGGGGTCATCTGCCTGTCGAATTCGTTTGGTGATGCCATATGTCTATCGGCCTCTGCCTTTGGGGAAGAAGTATCTCGGCGAACCAGTCGGTTATCGTCACTTCCGTCACCGTCACTGACGCCGTGACGAGTGCCACTAATGTCTGCCGCTCCCTCCTGGGCGCCGGCAGCATGGGCTGCGGCAGCAGCCTCCTGAATCGGCGCTTGGGCGGACGCGCCCACATCGGTTTGGTGGTGCGATTGGGGTAAAGGAAGAAAACACGACGACGGTGTTGGTGGCAACGGATGTCGCAAGGAAAGCGAAGAAGATCTTACACTCGGCGGCGGAGGGGCCCGCAGAGCATGGCCTTCCCGGCGAGACCGAACTAGACTCCCGTTGCGGGGTGATGCAGAGGTGTCGGAAACGGGGAACGCGGCAACATCAAAAATAGCGGAAGACGAAGAAGAGGAAGAGGGGCGACCGGGTCGATACTGTGTTGGTTTGGGGAAGTCCTCGAGACCAAGCTTCTCGGCTGTGTTTCCTGGGAGGACCAGTACTTGGCCTGCATACGATCGAAAGCGAGCGACGGTGCGGAGGGTGGGAACGAGTTGATGTACTCGGTAGGTGAGAAAATTGCGAAATGAGTTGTGGATGAGATATGACAACCTCAGCACGGCACTTGGGGTTGACGAAACCTACAGCTTCTTTTTGGAGCTTGTCCTTCGGCCTCAAGATTGCAAGCTTGCGTGGGTACGGAAGTGTAGTACTAGAAGGCGGTGACGTTGGCCTGGCGGTAAATATGTGTAGCCTAGATTCAGCAAACAATAGACTAAGCCGTCTCTTTCAGCATACTATTGGGAATACCCCAGACAATAGCCTGCTGCGCAGCGCCCGTAGATAGTTTGTTTTTGGGAAATTTACAAAAAGCGGGTATACCCACCCCTTTCTCGTACAGACGGGTGCTCAATGCTTGCCTTGCGGAGACCTCTCAAAATCTCATTTCGACGCCTGGACGACATGCCCAAGGACCATGCAGAGCATGAACACCACTTTTATGCTGTGCATGGACCCTGCCCATGTTGTTCACGCATCGGAATGAGACTTTGAGCGGTTTGACCCTGTCACGAGTGTTCTCCGTAAAACAAGCTTTCGAATACCCAGTTATGATACCCAGGTTTGTCCATTTCTCTCTTTTCTTCCTCTACCATTCTGATAGATGGATGCTGCATGACTAATCTGGTGCCTGCTCCACGCATTTGCGCATGTATCTCGCGGAAACACCGCGCACACACCTCGCTCTAGCATGGCCTCGGCCCGGAGTTTCGCGCTCCACCGTCGCATCGCGAGACGCTTGTACTGGTTATGGAAGAGTCTGAGGGTGTTGTCGCGAAACTGCTGCGCGGCGTGCTTCTCCTTCATCTGGTCGCTCGCCCCCTCCAGGACAACCGCAAGAACAAGATTGAGCAACACCGACTGCCAATGCAAGAAGAACGTCCCAACGGGGGGAAGGGTAGCGTTTACTACTCCGAGACACGTCACAAACATTTCACAATAATAGATTGGCGTTGCTTGTGGTCGAAGGGTAAGGAAAAGCTCGGTGAGATGAAGAGTGAAAGCGAGAGGTGAGGCACATCACGAGGTCTGTTTATAAGAGAACTTCTTCGGATATGAATATCGTTCGTAGGGAAAGAGAGGAGCAGCATCGATGCCCGGAATTGCACTCGTGGAGAGCCCGCGAGGTATACTTATATCTGATTTCGAGTAGTGTTAGTCGGACATCGAAACGAACGGATCAATATGCCCCATGTCATTTCAAGCGACCTCAATCCATGATCATGGTTGGTCTACCAGGCGACCACTATTGGGGCGGGGTCAGTTTTCGTTCATGAGTGATTTCGTTCCACAGCATGCTAAAAGACAGGGTTCAGGGTGCACCCATAGCCCTACAGCACACTCAAAGAGAAACATTCATAGAGCCCTGAGTGTGAAGAAGACTTCTCTCGGAAAAGGGGGGGGTAATGTGGAGACCACCTTCATAAAGGTACTATCTCCCCAACGTCTGTCGAGGACGACTCCCTCCTTTCAGATGAGGTTGAATACTATCGATTGTTTCAAGTGTGCTGGTCAAGGCATACGCACGGCGAAAACAGAGAATACGGTGGTTAGCCTGCACACCACCCACCTCTCCCAGCACAACCAGGGCGACGAAGAACAAGGCAGAGACGGCGGTGGTGTTCTCCATGGTCCGGTACATTATGGTGTTCCAGCTGTCCCCAGCGATCACAGTGAAGACCTTTGTTTGACCAACAAGCAGGGCGGGCATTTACAACTCTGTGCCAACTCTTTCTTCTCCAAGTACAGCCCATAAGGCACCCTTTTCCACAATTCGCTGTTGTACAAGGATGGTAGAAGGCAGGACCAAAAAGTCGACGCGTGTTTTCTAATCTATCATCGAGTTCTCATCAGGTTTGCAGGCTGCTATGCATATCTTGAAGCAACTTTCACTTATGCTACGGTGTCCCTGGGGAAGACCAAAACTCCCTAGTAAAACTCTCCTCTTCACAATTGCACAAGATACCGAATCGAGAAGCGGTCTTTATCAGCCAGCGTCGTTGGACTCATAGGCAATACCCCTATTGGAAGGGAGTAGAGACTGTCGTTTCCACGACTGGGTTGTCTCTTGCGTTCCGTGATGTCACCGGCGGCTAGACAGAATCGCAACCCAAACATCGTAGGCACGCACAGTGAAGGCAGAGCACATCAGTGCCAATCCAGAGCCGGCTTTGGAGCCAATCACGGCCTTGATCGTGATCAAAGTCTTATTCAACGAACACATACGTTCAGCAGACCGATGGACTCTCGACCTCGCACGTGAATATTTTACGTCTTCCTCTCAAGTACGGTCAGAGTAGCTTAGAGTAGCTGTGTATGCTGCCCACACGACCTGATGGATCATCCTCTTACCTGCACAAACGACCAGAAGAAGGTGTCGAATCGAGTTTTGTGTGCGTACGAGTGGGCCGCGAACTCCTCTAGGCCGGGATCGAGAGTGGCCCCAAACAGCTGCATCCCCAGCACCGTGAAAACGAAGCACATGAGAAGCATCAGAGCCACCACCGGCCACAGGTCGCGGGCCGACTTGATCACGACACCGACGACTGTGACCACCTGCAGTCGTTAGATTGGAGGGATGGAGTTTTTTTTTCGATCTCGCAGAACAGGGCATCCTGGGCTTATTGTTGCTCGTTCGACTATTGTTTGGGGAAAGCGTAATCGAACGTTTCGCCAACGTGAGAGCTGGACCAAGAGAGCGTCCGACAGCATGAGTGTTGAACGCAAAATGAAGTGCAAGCATGTCAATGTTCAATCACTCACGGTGCGTTTGAGGCGACGCATGCGCAGGATCCGGAACACCCTAAGCACGTTCAGCAGGCGCAACGATGCGGTCACGGCCTTGAAGGGAGAAACGAAACGGGGGCCGGAACGCATTTCATTGTAGTCGGCATGGGTGAAGTGAACTAACTGAGGTACCAGGTAGATCGCCGGGAGAGGACACCGACAAACGTCAGTACATACGTCAATGGAAACGTTTCTTTCGTGGTTCCCACCTCTCCTTCTTTGTGATCCTGGTTAGCGTTGGCTTAGTTGTTTGCAAATCCCGGAATCCCCATTTGAAGTTGGAAATAACAATTCGGCATAGTTTTGGAGGCTCGCGCACATACGCCGAAGTCAGACACCCTGTGTAGTCTCAATTTTTTTACTCAACCACCGTTGCATGCTCCAGTAGGGCGAATAGCGCCAATTTCAAGTCGGGGAGGTAAGGCCGGCTATTTTGTGTCACGGTTGTCAAACGCCGTGGGATGAAGCCCTAGTCGGGCGATTCCCGTTGACTTCTAACATCGGCGTGTTCGCGGAAGCGCCGCTTGTGCGTTGGTGCGGTTACCGCTCAGCACGATGTGTCGCCCCGTCTGTTGCGGCGTCCACCGAGGAGAAGATGCAACATCGTCGGCCTCTGCCCACCGATGCGAATTTTCCCAGGTCTTCGGGGTAACACCACTGACCATCAAATACAAAAGCCTAACACTACCGGAGAGATTACTTCGTGGAAACGATGCGCCAAGAGGAACTCATGGGGGCGATATGACGTTTGCGTTCATCGTGTATCCTGGCTGAGACTTCTTGACAATTATTCCGGAGGATAAGAAGATAAACCGGAACACAACATAGGTATGAGATTCGCCGATTTTCTCACCAGGTCGTCCACCAGCGTCGTCACGATGAGATGAAGAAGGGACGACATGGAAACAAAGAAGTCGAACCGGTTCCACCTGCAATTCGGGAGCCCGGAAACCCAAGCAAATCAAGTTACCGTTTTCGAGTCTTCGAAATTATAAACATTTCCGACGCTGAGGGTAGGTACGAGATGAAGGGCTAGGGGATGAGACAAGATATGGAGAAGTTTCACGGAGGACAGAAATAGCGAGCAAGGGCATGAAACTGCACTCGACAGATCCAATATTATATTCCAGGGCACCAGAGTTCAGTGTGTGTGGCTTCGAGTAACTGGTATACCGTCAGCAGCGATGGTAAGGCCGTGATTTTTCCAGGTAGAATTCCGCCCACGTCATTTCATCCGCAGTCGTCACGTTATGCACCCCATTCTAGATTTCACCGACCTCTGCCAATCGCCTTCCTATTCAATCAGAGACGCCTCGACAAGCCACACCCATCCGAATGGGAACAATGGACTTCCTCCCCAACTCGCCTGGACTTGAAGTACCTCCCAGCTCCCAGGGCCACGTTCTTCAACACGACCTCGACCGTAAAGATTATCGTAAGCACAGTCTCCATGTCGTGGAGCACGGCGGCCTTCTTGTCGCCGATGTTGTGACCGCCCATCCCAATAACGACCACGTTCAGAATTATTGCCCAATGGTATGCCTGACGATGTCGCCCACGTGGCAGCACCGCGGGGGTTGCCAGTCGATGCATATGGGCTACATGAGGGAGGGAAGTTGGCAATCACGCTCTTGAATCCAGTCAGGATCAACGTGCAGAACTATAGTAAAGGGCAATACGAGTGGGGTACGTGGCAAAACAATTGGCCGTAATCTACATCTTCATTGAAATTGACTTTCACTCGACTACAACAATAGAATGAATGGAGAACATTGACATTGGTGGAAGGTACAAACAACGCTGGTATAATAGCTGGCTTCTTCTAAAGGACGAGAGTGTGTGGGACATCAGTACATAGGAAATGTTGGCGGTGTTTCTTGTGTGCAACCCCTTGGGGAGCCACACACGACAATGTTGCCGACATCCAACTGAGCAAGCTTGCACCTGACAACGGATAGCTACCTACGGATGGGTTTACGTTTTGTTCGAGATCTCTAGTTCTATCACTGGTAAAGGCATGCCAAGACCCCTATCTTTGATCTCGCCATTGCTTGCGTGCTTTGGGGATTATCAAGCGTCTGGAACATCCACCTTAAGAACTGTATTTTCAATAACACAGAAGTATACGAAGAAAGCTCGAGCAAATGCGATGTCTGGACTGCTGCTCAAGCCTACCAATGCAGCAGATGACAGTACCTGCGAGAAAAGCGAATCTTCGCTGAGAACTTGATCTTCTACCAGCGGATGCCTAGCATACGAGACGATGCTTTGCCACAGTCCCGTCGACTGTCGGACTAACCTTGCGGTTTTGCCCTCCGGCTTGCTCTGGTGGAGTTTCATTGGTGATACGAGGGTTGTTTGGTGGTTGCAAGAAAGGACAGTTTTGTCACCTGTATCCGGATAGAACATTTATTGAAGTCATTCACGTCTTCAAATCTTCAGTATTCCTCCCCCGAAGTCCCTCTGTTGCGGGCCATATCGTTTGCGAAACCGGAACAATTTGTGCCAACAAAGGGTAATTCATTTGGGTGCAGATGCGGGGCTAGAAACAATGGTCCCAAGCTGAAAGAGACAGCAAGCGACGAACAAGTTGGCCCCGTACCGCCTCCCGCCCTCGCGAAACTTTCCGGCTCTCGACAAGATGGGTGTACTGCCCCTCTTGGCTGCGTTCCTCGTGCTCCCCTCGAATGAAGAAGGTCCACGAAGTAGAATAACAGCGTTACCCAAACGTCCCCAAGATACCTCGCCAACAGAATATTACATCTGTCGGCATGCACGCTACCCCTGACCCGCTGTTACTGCATGACCTGTCAGCCAACCGTGGTTGGCATCACCACCCGTGTAAAGTAGCCAGGCAAGACGGCGGGAGACAAGGTGCGTGTTCCTTGGTCTTGATACCGGTGCTCACCTCAGCGTGCGAGGTGATAAGACCGGCCGCGAGATTCGGTCCCGCTGCCAAAATGTCCACACCACCTCTGGCAATCACCCCCCCACCCCTTGCGATAGCGCCTCCAACCTCCGCACCACCCTTGGTCACAACCCCCTTCACCCCCTCGGCGGCGGTGCCTAGCATTCCTTTCCCCTTCTTCGCCCTGCCGCGTGCCTCCACCTGTCTTGCAGCCCTAGCCTGGGAAACAGGCGCAAACACACGCGGGCCCACAAGCGCTATTGTTAGCGTTGACAGCGCTGGGGATGAAACATGTCCTGTGCGACGTGCGCATGTGTGGGCGAGGGAATCCAAGTACCGAGAAGTCCGACGCTTGAAGAAGCCTACCCTGTCTGGCCACGTGCCAGACAAGCGGTACGCGTGTACGGCATGACCTGGAGAGGACGTAACAAAGCTGCAAGCTAAATCTCAGGGTGGCCTCAACTTCACCTCGGCTCTTTCCCGCATCAGGCGGAGGCCCTCGGCCAAGCTGACCGCCTTGAACCTCGCCAGCATCGCAGCGATCATGAGACTCATGATTGCCCACGTGGCGGTGACAATCAGAAACACGAAGAACCAGATGGTGTACTCCGACATGACCCGCTGCGTGAACATCATCACCTTTGCTTGTTTCGTGTTGTTTTTTTTCAACATTCGTAACATCCAGCGGAGTAGATGTTGGGACGGGAGGGAGGGGGCAAAACGACCGAAGATCAACATCTCTAGCTGAAAAGTACCGCCAAAATGGGCCCTGCATCACATTTTTCCTCCAATATACTCTACTGGTTTGCAATAGCCTTCCCAGCCCCGGACCATGGTTGTGAGCTTAAGTTCGCATGGAATGATCCCTCACCCTTGTAGCCCCCCTAAACTTCTACAAGCACAGCGTCCATGCCTTCATAAGGTAGGTGTATCTCTACGCACTCCCGCATAAGTGTAACAGGGGCGAACAGGGGCGACCCCAAAGGCGAAAAAGCGAAAACTCATTTCGTGAGCAAACAGTTATACGCAAAGAGCGCTCTAACGCTAAAAATGTCTTTGATGGGTTGGAGAATGATCATATGGCTGAGGCAAGCAACAAAACCGAAGTCGACATCCGTTCTACTCACGAAATGTGAGTACCCGGTACGCACCTCGTGCCACCCCTCCAGAGTGGTGACAGTGAAGAGGGTAAGTAGAGACCACAAGAGATTGTCGAAGTTCACCATGCCCGAGTAAGGGCTGCTACCGTAGTCTTGGCATGTTTCCCCCTATACCGCGGTCGAGTTAAGCCCAGGCGGACCGGACAAGGCGTTCGTAGTACAAAAAGACAACAGAGGGAGGAAACCAGGCACACTATTTTGAGAGAAGGCGTTAGTAGGACAGAAAAGGGACAGACCGAGGAAGCCAGGTATTCTTTTTGAGAAGGAGGAGGTTAGCCATGAGAGCACTGTATATCGAAGATGTATTGGTTGTCGAGTTCTGCTAGCCGGTAGGTGGAATTCGGTACAATACAACTTTATCACCCTCCACAATTATCGTATGTGGGCTGAGCTGAAGCCGACAGATACTCAAATCGAATTGTCGAGTCGGAACGGACAGGGGAAGTACAAGTTTTACCGAGTATGAATGCGGTGAAGCCAAGCCACACGGTAAATAGTAGAGAAGTGCGAAGAAAAGGTCGGTCAACCCCCGCCCTTTATTGCTACCATGATTTTTTAAGCACACCTGAACAATGTGGACATATATGTATGCGTGACGATACACAAGTGCCCAAACGAGGTTAGACGTTTAGCTCGATGATTCGATCAGCGTCTTAAGGAGATCGGCAAGAGCGTCTTGCCGCCTACTTTGGGGGTGAAGTGAGCAGCGGGGGTTCATCGGACATCATGCCCAGCTTCCGGGTCAATCTCGGTCATTACCCAACCAGAAGAACTCAACGGTCGCTACCCTAACGGCCACGACGACAAATTGGTCACCTCTTCGCAGGTGTACGGTGTGTCTAACAGCTCGAGCGACGAGCAGAACAACGAGATGTCGTCCGAATGGTCCACGGGCACTCCGCAGACCCCACCGGTGTCCGAGGACATCACTCCCGAAGACGAACACCGGTTTTCCAGTGCCCCTTGCCGCCGGGTTATTTATTTGCCCATCCACAATCGAAGAGAGGGAAACGTTTGAGGCATAATCAAAGTGAGGGACGGGAGTTGTGTGTCTGCAGCATTCATCGAACTCGGGAGTAGCATTAATCGAAACTCGGGACAGTAGTCAACAAGCAGGTGGGTCACGTTGTCGTGCCACTCCAGATACAAAGTAGATCAAAAATGTGTTCCAACTTTGGCGAGTGCGAAACACTGGGGGTGGCCATGTAGGCGCTGAACTACAAACCACACATACCCCGTCCTGCTTGAACAGCCGATAAACATTGAAGCACCACAGCATAGCCAATGCCCACCTGACCACAGCAGCACGCCCATGATTGCAAATATGGAAAGCCACACCATGAATATGCAGACAATACGACCAAGGGTCCAACCTGCCCTGAGCAGGCTTGTGACCACCAGCTGGTTGATTACATTCATCAGGCGAACGAAGAACGGAGGAGGGATGGGGAGGTGAGGGAGAGAACCTAACAGTATAGTCTTGGATCGAACGGCACGTTGTCCAGAAAGGTATATGCAGTGTAGAGTCATCTGAACGGGGGGGGGCTCGATTATGTACTGCCTTTACTGAGGCTTACTTAGGTATTTGGATGGAAACAGTGAAGGCGATATCGCGAGGAATAGACTACGCTTCATCCTATCATATGTTTCGAGACGGAATGGCACTTCAATGAAAGGGGATACCTCGGGAAGGAGGAAAAAATGTTGTCGGAAACCGAAAAGAAAATAGGTGTCAGGACCTTCTAAAAAACAACTCGCGCTCACCTGCACTCGAGGCATTCGCCTGACCGTTCGCAGGGGCCGGAGCACTCGTAGTACTCGGAGGCTCTTCATGCTGGGTCCGCCATCAAAGAAAACAGAAAATATGCCCTGCCCACATCGACATTGATGACAGTTAGTCAATGGGATCTATATTGCTTCGAAAATGCCTCAGGAAGACTGCTGTGTGTTTTGCAGGGCTTGATGTCGAAACACTTTTGAGGCATATTGCAAGACGGAGCATCTTGGGATGATCTGTACCTTCGTGAGAGAGAGGTTCATGTCCTCTTGTCAGCGTCACAACACATTTTACCCAACTCAATCACGCGAATTGCAAACATACATAAATAAATGGACAGATTGAATGAGCACGCAGATTAGGCTTTTCGACCATGTGAATGCTTCGTTAGGCGCCCAGCATGGCTAAGAACTTCATTAGCTGTGGGCAAATGCACAACCAACTAATGACAAGGGCTTCGCCTTTGCGACAGGTGGCATTATCGTATCGACGTTCAGACCCAATGTTGTGTGGCGATTTATTGATATTGCAGATGTTGCGGAAAAATTGTTCCCTCTCGGCGTCCAGCAAACACGTGTCGAATAGACGGGTTGTTCAAAACGTCAACCTCATTGCATGTCAAGACTACAGTACTAGACTAGAGTACATACCCCACCTCTGCCACGACGATCGCGTCAAGCCAGTTCCACGCATCCATGAAGTACTGGAGGCCCAATGCCGCCAGTTTGAGGGACATCTCCAACGTGAACAAGGCCGTAAAAACTATGTCGGCAACCAGCTGCCACCAAGGTGGTGTCTGAGAGGACAAAAAAAAACACCCAAGAGCAGGTTAACTCGGACGAAACTCGTCCGTTGCTACAAGGCGGGCACACATATAGACTTGACGAGTAGTCTAGGATCATCCGTTTCTTCCCGGTTGCCCTGTCCCGAAGACGGAGGAAACTTGGAGATCAAAACGTTTGGTATTGTGAGGAAAGCGACATCGCCAACCAACTGCTTCAACGAGATGCGGGATGATAAAGTACATGCGCACTCACCAGCGGTGATTTACTCTTGCCATTCTGCAAAACGCTATATATAGGAGTGGCCTGCCACCGTCCATGAAATGGTAATCACAACTCTGAGAACATTGTCATCAATCGTATGGCGTCAACCTTTGTAGAAGTTGTACTCTTCGCTTGGAAGAGTTCATGTACCCGGGAAGAGTTCATGTACCCGGGAAGAGTTCATGTACCCGGAGTCTATGGCTGTAGACTACTACTGCTGGTACATGCAGTCCAACAATCCACCCACCACGCATGTACAGCAGCAGAAACGAATATAACAGACCGGGTCTGCCGCGGTGTCTCCTAGTTCCTCAGGCCTCTTACCTCCGCTGTAGGGTCATCGAGACCGAGGAACACGCAATTCACCAGGATGATCCCTACGACGAAGGAATCGAACCAATCTTGCGATATAACAAGCTTCGCCAATCCACGGCACGTCGATAGGTGTGCCCAGACACGTCCCCGTGAAATTTCCGGCGCGTTCCGTCCCCTGGTTGGTTCGTCCACGCCCTTTTCTTGAAGAACCAACATGTCGTTGGGGCTCGACACGACTGCGTTATCTCGGATCTCACATCGCTGCAATCACACCTCTTGCGCCAGCACGCCTCAGCACTACGGATGCTGGGTATTATGCGTAGCCAGACAAGGCGGCCGTTCCTACACGTTCCTTGTTCCTACAGCAGCCGTAGACCAAGGAATGACTAAAACAAATCGTCCACAACATGCGGGCGTTACAAAAACGCGTATGCGGGGCTTTGGAAAACTACGGCGCGAGAATAATTCCCCCGCGTTTTCACAACGGCATAAGAGGGCACGAAGGCACTGACTACCTGGCACCGCCAGCAATATGGCAGCTCAAACTCCTTCCCTTGTGCGTGTTTATGATCTCCTCCGAGAGCTCAGACTAAGCATAAGAAAGATTGAAGTGGCGGCTGGAACAAGAGAAGGCGAAGACGATGCGTGGACTAGACATCAAATTGAGGTTCGGAACCAAGCGTGCTGCTGTACACACCAGCCTCCGGCGATAGACACGATAAGTAAGCAGGACTACTGCCGTCCATAGATTCGGGCTCCGTAGTCTTCGCGATGCAACCCGTGTGCTACGCGAGCTCCTTTGCTTCTCAGTCAAAACCACACTCGAGTCAACAGACAAGACATGGAGTATTTCTTATTTTTCCCTTTACCACGCTTGTTTCGCCTCGAACGCGAGGCTTTCTCTCATCTGTCTCGATGCTTTTACGCCCGCTGCTACCGCTGGTTGTTCTGTGTCGAAAAAGGCCTTCAACAACGCAAGCATTCGTACCGTTGCTGCTTGTCGGGACGCGCTAACCGAGGCGAGGTACGAGGGGGAACAGCGCGAGGCCGGTGGCGGCGGCGGCGACGGAACCGACGGCAGTTCGGACTCGCTCACAAAGGTTCGAGGTTCGAGGACGACCGACGTAGATCCAACTGGGGCGCCTTACAGCAGTTAGCGCCCCTGAGTGCTAAGAGTCAGGCTCAATAATAGATAAATTTGAGAGTTTCTAGTCATACAGGACATGTACTCAGAAAATATTCCAACTTTTGAAACCTATAGTCTACACTCGCTGTTGGGGTACCTCTTAAGAGAAACGAAGAAACGAGCCCTCGACTAACCTAAGGTTCATTAGTGCAGTTGCTATGTAACTGTATCAGAGCGCAAGAAAATCAACCCGCGTTTACGGAGCGGTGAGCTCATGTCAGGCGGGGAAGCATCACCCATTAAAGTATGCAGGACAAAGTGGTGGACTACGGGGTTGAGACACACAGACACGGATCGTGACGACGCTCGCTCGCTGTCTAGTGTAGGCTAGGATGGCATGAGCCATACATCGACGAAGATCATTATTGTCATCGGAAGCAGCTTGGAACGTGACAAATGCAGGCATTAGGGGGTTCCCATTCCCCTACCTTACACGGGGGACACGAAATTTTCTCTGGTCGTAGGTGGTGCAAGCGGAGAGAGACCTGGAGCACGTGAGGATGGAACTCCGACGAGCAGTCACACTTCGCAAGCGCCACGAGGAGAGACGCTACGATGCCACCAGTCGCGCCGCGTTACTGGGAGCGGAGGGCGGCGACGGACCGTGAGAATGTTTTTAATTATCTCTGGCTGTTTTCAACAATCTCACGTCATATGTTACGCGACTGAATGTACTGGGCAGACGTCGGAATGATTGTTTTTGTTGTACAGACAGCGAATTGACAACAAGAAGACAACCACCACTAACAACAACGCCATCAAGATGACTGTCTTCGCTGTGTACGATAGAGCACTTTCTATTCTGGTCGTTGTTGCATCCTGCAGTCGATGCCCCACTTTCTGAAACACTGGAACGCTCCGCTTTCCAATAGACAGATGCCAGCGAAGGGCAGTGCATCCCCAACGAAGGGGTCGTGTTTTTTTTCTTTACTCTCGCCACTGCTGTGGTGAACTACTGCTGTGTACTGTACGACAGGAGACGACGGGGCTACAATTCCGGGGGAGGTGGCGACGATACCCCGGGGTCAGCTGCGGGAGACGCGCGAGAAATGAAACAGTCCTTGCAGCGCACCCGAAAGATGATGGCAGAGCAGCTGGCCCGGGTGGCGCAAGTGTCGGAGGTCATGGGCGAACAGGATGCCTTGCTCATGAACACGTTCGCCGAGCACCAGGCGAGTTTCTCGTGTTCAGAGGCACAGTTGCAGGGAGAAACACTGCTCTGTTTTTCTTGTTGAGCTTTGCCGGAGGAACTATTGCTAGTGTTGATGGTGGTTGCAGTTGTGGTGTAGTTGTGGTGTCATCGTCCACCACATGAAGTCCATTGCACTCACCAGCATCGAGAACCCACCGGCATCTATAATCCAACTTCCTCCGCCAGGATTGCGGGAGGCACCCTCCTCCGTCCCAGGCTGCGACTGCGAACTAAGCGCAACACTTGTGTAGGTTCGGGGGAGGAGGGTCTGATTACGTGTGAAAATGCGGTTATTCCTGCTCGAACCCTCGCTTCCTCACTGTGTGTTGTACCCAACACGCGCCATTACTGCCGGACGTTTTCCGCGTTTCGTTGCCGTGCGCTCGCACAGGGCATCGGAGGAAGCTTGAAGCGAGCCGGCACAACGTTGACGAGGCTGAAGGCTGCTGAGGTGATGGACACCATCATCATGGTGGCCTCCACCTTTGTATTCTTCGCCACGGTCTGCTTTGTGATATATCAGAGGCTGCCCCTCTTGGGCCTCTTGTGACAGGGGCGTCGTTTGTGAGGCGCCGAGGATCGATTTTCCTGCATCTTTGCTGTTTCTTGTTATGTGTACTCTGTGGCAGAGTGTAAGCTCAGGCAAGAACGTGTGTGTGTAGTGTACATTCATCGGTCATCACGAAGTGACGCCAACTTGAACGTGCTACTCTGTACGTACCCTCACGTATTTCCGGCCAAGCTCTGGGAATGTCGAGACGTTTTTTACCACCAACTGGGTCGTCCAAAAGCTGTGCCATCGTGAACGAATCCCAGTTCCTGGCACGATGTGCTCTTTTGCTCTCTGAAGAATACTGCTAGTATTGCTCAGAAGCAACGAAGGAGAGACACGGGATACGGGCAGGCGGCCGAAAAGGGGACTTTTATAAAAGTACCTTGGTAGACGTTTGCCTCGGTATAACAGCTCGAGAAGAGATACACAAACCTTACTGTTTGTGTTTGTTAGTGTACTTCTAATGCTCTTTTTGATTGGGAGCGTGTGATCGAAGGTTTTTTTTTGGTAGTTTAGTCGGCGCAGGACAACCAATAAAATTGGAAACACCGCTTGCCTGACTTGGTGGCCTAACGCGGTTGCAGAGCCCGTTCCCACAACCCTCGAGCGGATCCTTTTCGCCGTCATGGGTACCATGCTCACGTTTTCTCTTGTCTGTGAGACCCCTGGACACCGGCGTGTTGGTATTGTCATTGTCCGATTCACGCGACAGAGAAAAAGTTCTGCTCTCCTCCTCGAATCGGCATACATACGTTTCGACGAATGGTTGCTCCAAATAGCGCCTGGCGCGCATAGTGGCCGGGTCAACAAGATGGTGACATCCCGGCCCTGGCTGTCATTTAGCACGCCGTGCATGTTGTAAGACAACTGTAGAAATAGAACATCGGTTCTTGAGATGCGTACATATAGGTACGTTAGACTGCTGTTCATGTCTAGCTTTCAAGACAGATAGAGGCGCAGCGCCACCGGTCGGTAGTATGTTTTTGTTGGTTTTGTTGGTTTTCTTCACGTCCCATCTACATAAATATGCTAGCGCCGGTCTACATGTATCCCGTTCGGTACATGTTTGACCCACGAAAAAGCAGGGTCGCACAAGAGGAAGACCGCCTTTCTTTCCTCTTGTGGTGGGTGTCTTCACTTGTTACTGCGAGAGAGGGGTTCAGCAGTCAGTCCCTGCCCTCGTTGGTTCCCTTTTTTTCTGCTGGAGGCGCTTTTCACTGAAAAACAAAGTAGTTGCAAGGTTTTCCACTCGGGAACTAATTTCGAACCCACAACCCAGATCTAGAACGTTTACGAAGTAGAACGTTTACGAAGTTGCCAACTTCACTACTTTTCTACCACATACTGCTGCTGTTAGTTGTGTGACCTGCAGTAGTGCAGATTTTGGCCTCTCGAACAATCGCGGCCAACACCGGCACGGTTTGTACTCTGATTATTGCGTGCACTTGCCCGGAAATTATTATTATTTCTCTTGCACTTTGTGTAGCCGAATTAAATTTGGCTCTGGTTTTCTGATACGATGGTTGGGAGTGCATGGTACACACGTGAAATTTGGCTGAGAGACGGACGCTTCACTTGGTGTTCAAAAACCCAACACATAATTAATTCAAATAAAAAACACTACATATTATATATGTTTTTTTCGTATCCTATATTTTGTTTCCATGATTGGAAACTATTTAGGAAGCACACGCATCACACATACTCTGACAATAAAGAGAGGGGAGAGGACAGCGATTGCATGGCAGAGAGGGGAAATGTGCACCAGACACCATCATCTCCAACAATGAATGCTGCTGTGTTCTGTTGGGTTTTTTTCTTTCTTAATATGACACAACGAATCCATCTCTATCATTGAAAAGAGTCAGAGACAGATTAGCAATGAATTCATAGCGTCAGAAAAGGCTACATGTGTACGCTGTTTTGTTTTCCTGTTTCTATTGGTTGCTCTTCGATCGAATCCGAAATTCGCCTTCCCAAAGTTGCCCTTCGTCTGAGGGGCACAACAGACAAGATTGGTGAAACATTGTGCGTACCCCCTGAGGCGGTGCAAAAACCACAGACACCCGCGCGTGCATGAGACCTGTTTTGTCAAAACGAGTTGCGGCAACAGCAGTCCATTGGTCATTTCGCCAGGACACGCCAGGACACGGGTGTCCCGAGTCCTACATGTTCTGAGCTAGCAATTCGCGGCCGGGTATCAGGCAACTCCTGCCTTCGGCTGATGAGCGAGATTGCAGCAGAAGTTGGGAATCGAACAAATTCTCACACATAATTTGAATAGAGAGAAACATAAAATATACAAGACAGGGAATGGATTCTGCGATCGAAGCCGGAGGCACCACCCCCGACAGCAGCAGCAGAGACGAGCGGAAGAAGAAGACGAGACACAACGGCGTCCCCGTCGTGGCGGCGTCCGCTGTGCTGGTGGTGTCGGCGTTCGTCTGGAAGCTCTTGGGCGCGGGTGCCGCGGTGCACCTGCTGGTGCTCGTGCTTGGAATTTTGCTCGGAGCCCTGTTTCAGAAAAGCTCGTCTCTTGTTGACAGCGGTCCGACGCAAGGCGCAGCAGCAGCAGTAGAATCAGAAGGGCGTGGTACGGCCAGCGATGCTGCTGCTGCTGCTGCTGCTGCTGGTACTGTTGCTGCTGCTGTTGGTCGTGCAATTAGCAATGGTGGAAGCCTGTCTGCTGCTGCAAATGGGCAACAAGCTCATCCTCACACCAACGGCGGCAGCAGCAGCAGCAGCCGTTTCCCTTCCTCCATAAACGCCAGCGGCGGCAGCTCTTGCCCGACGAGGGCAGCAACGGCCGCCTCGCCGTTGCACTGGGTAGGAGAAACAATGGAAGGTTCCATCAACTGGCTGCGCGGCAACAACGGGTGCAGGGCAGCAGCAGCAGAGCGAGGCAGCGAGTCAGCGGGGACAGTAGGCAACCGCAGGAGAACCAGGAGCGCGGGAGGCAGCTCGCTGCGGCGCAGAGCTAGCGGCGGCGGCGGCGGCGGCGGTGGGACTAGCGCGAGCGCTGCAACCTCTCCGACGACGGGCATCTCGCCCATCGGCTTCGGGAGCAGGGCGGCGGCGGCCTCGTCAGCGTTGCCACCTCTCGGCGCGGGCATCCCGCACGCGCAGCAAGAGCGGCAGCAGAGGTCGAGGGTGTGGTCCAGGACCTACGGTGGCGTTGCTGGTGGCAAGGCTACCGCGGCGGCAGCAGTTGCAAGCAATGGGTTCGACGATGATTCAAGCATGGACGACGAAGCTGCTGCTGGGCGGACGGGGGACGAGCTGCGCGGGGGCGGGGATTGGCTGGTGGGAGCTGGGCTGGGCGATACCAGGCAAGAGAGAGAGAGAGAGAGAGAGAGAGAGAGAGAGAGAGAGAGAGAGAGAGAGAGAGAGAGAGAGAGAGAGAGAGAGAGAGACGCAGGAGACGGGGGGGAGGATGTTCAAAAGTCAATCCAGGACAGCTTATTGTTACCCTTTCTCGGCTGCTGCTGCAGATCAAATAATATTAGCATGATGACCGTCGTCCATTATTATTTGCTTCAACAGAGCGGTGGGACTTTGCGAAACTGCTCCTGAAGCTCAAGGGACGGGATGGAACAATAGATTCCTTTTTTTTTTGTTGCACTCTCTGGCTGTTTCTCTCCCGAAAAGTGTACCACACGAAGGTTAGGTAGGTTGTGCCATCTACTCTAGTAACCACTTTTTGAGTCAGTCCCCTGTGAACGATCGCTTTTTTCTACATACCTTGGACCCAATCGGTTTTAACATTCATTTTGTCCTCGAAAACTTAAACTTGCACGCCACCTGGCGTGGCTGGTGCGTTCTCTTGCTGCCCAATCAGCATTTAGTGCCCGCGGTAGTATCTGCAGGGCCAAGCAACCATTACAGGGACAACCATCTACTCGTGATAGTAACTCCTACTCTCAGTTGATACCTCGCATAGCGTGCAGAGGGAGTGGAGGACTCCAGAATATCTGATTTCTTTTGACTTGCGGACCCCTCGTGGCCAGTTTATTTTGAGTGTACCTTTTTACGGTAAGTTAACCTGTGACCAAGGGAATCGACCGTTGTTGTTGTTGTTGTTGTTGTTGTTGTTGTTGTCTTCACATTAAAAACCGTTCCGATCTCTCTACCCAGTACCTTCGTATGTCCGTACTGATCCAACACACGACGCGGTCGATTCCCGTGGTCACAGGTTAACTTACCCAAAAAAGGTACACTCAAACAAACTGGCCCCGACGGGTCCGCAAGTCAATAGAAATCAACGGCAGATATTCTGGAGTCCTCCACTCCCTCGTGTCGAGTGTTGGATCAGTACGGACATACGAAGGTACTGGGTAGAAATAGATCGGAAAAGTTTTTTAATGTGAAGACAACAACAACAACAACAACAACAACAACAATCTACTGTATGTGGGCAAGTACTACAGCAGTACACGCGTCAGGGGTCAGGGAGGACCTGATGAGAGGTCGGAACGTTTAGGAACAACCGGCCACATTTACAGAAGGCACATAACCAGCAACACGTTTTGCCCTGCGAGGGGCCGACGAACATGCCGGTGGTGGTCGGTTTAGGGCCAGACCTAACGTTGCTGATATGTTCGCGTTTGCTCTATCCCGCCATCAATGATCCACGGCGGTAACGTGTTTGTGGGGGGGGGGGGATACGTCGTAGCATACTATGCTTATGTAGCACGTATGGTAGTATTTTCTCGAATACGGTTGTATGGCGTATGTGTTGTGTTCATCCTACAGTACCTACTAGTTATTATGGCGACAGCGTATGGCGTAAGAAATCGGGCTTTTCGTTGACCGTTCGTTCTGCACCTCTGGGGAATGGGGACCGTGTCACGTCATCCCTTCTCCTCGTCAGAATTTTGTCGAACACAGCTGTTGGCGTGTGGTGGATCAGTTGGAACGAAGCAGAAAGCAGCTTGCGTGTGGTTGACGTCTCAGCAGTCGATCCCAACGTTTTGTTGCCGAGGAAATTTTCAGCAGTCTCGCGTTCGATACATCCCCGTTTTCGCAGCCGAGGACAATAACTTTTTATGGTTTAACACGGAGGAGAGGAGGAGAGGAATGTGATGTGCAGCCATCCAAGCACCGGGACAAAACGAAAAAATGCGCTAAGGCGGTGACAATGGATATCTATCGATTCATGGCAAGAACGTATTCTTTTCCTAGACAGCGCATCTCTGTTGTTTTGAAAATGCACCCAGGTTGAAACTTGGGAAAAAATCGCGAATACGTGTGCCCCAGAAAACAATATCCCCCCCATCTTGTAGCGTCAGGCCTTCGAATCCCCGGGCGTGAGTGATTTTTTTTTTTTTTCGACTCTATGTGCAGCGAGTCCGGCAGCCTCTCCAGCGTAGGGAACGGGAGCTGGCGAAGGGGGCGAAGGGCCTTCGAGGCGGAAAGCGACAACACGGCCGAGGGTGACTGCGAAGGAGAGGGAGAAGGGCCGAACGAGCTGAGGTGGGAGGTGGACGGGAGGCGGCAGAACCTGCGGCGATCGCTCACAAGGTGAACGTGTGTTTGGCATAGCCCGCGCTATCCGGCTGGCCAATGAAAAGGCGTCAGTCTCAGTGCGGATGAAAACACGAAACGCTTCGTAAAGGCAATCATCTGGGAACCCGTGAGGGTGTCGTGCATGTGTGAGTGTTTTTTGTTCAAGGAAACATGCTGGGAAGGGAAGTTGGGGGAAATGATGACTCGCCGTCATGCATGGGCGAGAGAGGGGCGGGGAGGGGGGAGGGGGCAAAGCTAATTCGTCGGTACTGTTATGGAGACGGCATCAGTAGTCATTATTCAGCGCTATAAGCTCGTGTGTACACAGAGGGAAGAGAGTGCTGAACTCTTCTCGCATTAAAAATTGAAGGCGAAGTACCGCAGGAGGGGAGGGCAGAGAGAGGCTTTTCTGTGTGACCACGGGTTGGAATAAACGGCACTAGTGCTGTGAGCGCTGATTTGAAGTGAAGAACAAAATAATAATAATAATAATAATAATAATAATAATAATAATAATAATAATAATAATAATAATAATAATAATAATAATAATAATAATAATAATAATAATAATAATAATAATAATAATAAGCTCGGCAGAGTGTGCCAGGTAACAGCAGTATATGCGTATGGTGTTGGTGTATGCTTCGCCGCCATCGTCGTAGTATCGGCGTGCTCGTCCGCCGGGGGCTGCTCTTTGCTCGCTGTCTTGCGTGTTTCAGTGCGATAGGGTAGGGTCCTGCGTTGCTCTCTTTCTCTCTTTCCCTTGCTGCTTTCTTTTTGAGAAAACATACATAAAAAAACGCAAAAAGACTAGTAATTCGAGGTATTTCCACAGCAGTCCGAAGGGAGGTGCTGAAGTCTTTTCAGTGAGTGGAGAGCAACCGGCTGGCAACTGGGCTTATTTTGAGTCTGTTTAAGTCTACAGCGTACACTGAATTATCCAATTTCTTGTGATCCCCTGGCTTGACTCGCCCGGTTGCTTCGCTTTCGTGCGGCACGATCATGGTAGCGCCGGGGTCCAGACGGAGGAGAGCCAGATGGTGCAGGACCTGCTGGAGATGGTGTCGGATACGCCGGTGGACCACGCGGGGCAATGGATACCGGTTCGGGTTCGCCGCGGCATTCACATCTGGACGAGCACGGTGGAAGGGTCGCCCTACTGTCGCATTCGGGGGCGGATGCGCTGCGAGGCGACGCCCGCCCAGCTGTTGCAACTCCTCATCGACGACGAGAGGTGCGTAGAACCAATGGGGGGGGGGGCGGGGGGGGGGAAACTCTTATTTTTGGCATGCCTTAACGGGTAGACCATTGACCCGGGGGGGGGGGGGGGGGGGGGGAACCCCTT